CAATAAACACAGCATACCGCCTGTCACCATCTAAATACATCAGCACGATAANACCATACCGCCGGTCAACATCTAAATACGTCAGCACGATATACACACGATATCGCTGTCATCATCTAAATACATCAGCACGATATACACACCATACCGCCGGTCAACATCTAAATACGTCAGCACGATATACACACGATACCGCTGTCATCATCTAAATACATCAGCACGATATACACACCATACCGCCGGTCGACATCTAAATACATCAGCACGATACACACATCATACCGCTGTCATCATCTAAATACAACAGCATAATAAACACACCATACTGCTGTCACCATCTGAATACATCAACACCATATACACACCCTACCATCGGTCACCATCTAAATACATCAACACCATACACACACCATACTGCTGTCACCATTTAGATACATCAGCACGATACACACATCATACCGCCTGTCACCATCTAAATACATCAGCACGCTATACATATCATACCGCCCGTCACCATCTAAATACATCAGCACGATAAACACACCATACTGCTGTCACCATCTAAATACATCAGTACGATATACACACCATACCGCCGGTCACCATCTAAATACATCAGCACGATATACATATCATACCGCCCGTCACCAACTTTATACATCAGCACGATATACACACCATACCGCCCGCCACCATCTAAATACATCAGCACGATATACATATCGTACCGCCGGTCACCATCTTAATACATCAGCACGATATACATATCATACCGCCGATCACCATCTAAATACATCAACACCATATACACACCCTACCATCGGTCACCATATAAATACATCAGAACGATATACATATCATACCGCCGATAACCATCTAAATACATCAACCCCATATACATATCATACCGCCCGTCACCAGCTTTATACATCAGCACGATAGACACACCATACAGCTGTCCCCATCTAAATACATCAACCCCATATACATATCATACCGCCGGTCACCCTCTAAATACATCAGCCCGATATACATATCCTACCGCCGGTCACCATCTTAAGTGCCCTTTGCATTGTATCGACGAGACAATAGGACGAGGTAGGTATCTACGCCCGTGATTATGTGGTAAATAGTTGTCAGGTTTGTCTGTCCCACTATACCTCTGGTCATCGGCTAAACATAACAGCACTATGTACAGATAACCAACTAAACACAACAGCACGATATACACACGATACCGCGGGCATCATCTAAATACATCAACACCATACACACACCATACCGCCCGTCACCATCTTAATACATCAGCACGATACGCACATCATACCGCCTGTCACCATCTAGATACATCAGCACGATATATACATAAACACTACAGCACGCTATACACACCATACAGCTGTCACCAGCTAAATACATCAGCACGAAATATACACCATAGAGCTGTCACCATCTAAATACATGAACACAATAAACACAGCATACCGCCTGTCACCATCTAGATACATCAGCACGATAGACACACCATACAGCTGTCACCAGCTAAATACATCAGCACGATTTACACACCATACCGCCCGTCACCAGCTTTATACATCAGCACGATAAACACACCATACTGCTGTCACCATTTAGATACATCAGCACGATATACATATCGTACCGCCGGTCAGCATCTTAATACATCAGCACGATTGCCACAGACCATACCACCGGTCGACATCTAAATACATCACCACGATATACATATCATACCGCCGATAACCATCTAAATACATTAGCACGATAAACACACTATACTGCTGTCACCATTTAGATACATCAGCACGATTTACACACACCATACCGCTGTCATGATCTAAATACATCAGTACGATATACATATCATAGGTAGGTATCTACGCCCGTGATTATGTGGTAAATAGTTGTCAGGTTTGTCTGTCCCACTATACCGCTGGTCAACGGCTAAACAAAACAGCACTATGTACAGATAACCAACTAAACACAACAGCACGATATACACACCATCCCGCCGGTCAACATCTAAATACAACTGCACGATATACACACACCATACCGCCTGACACCATCTAAATACATGAACACAATAAACACACCATACCACCGGTCGACATCTAAATACATCAGTACGATATACATAGCATACCGCCGGTCACCCTCTAAATACATCAGCACGATATACACACCATACCGCTGTCACCATCTATATACATTAGCACGATAAACACACCATACCGCCTGTCACCATCTAAATACATCAGCACGATATATACACCATACAGCTGTCCCCATCTAAATACATCAACACCATATACATATCATATACATATCATACCGCCAGTTACAGCTACCCTGCCTACACTAATGTTTAGTGCCTATCCTTATCTTTCCTGGCAATTTTCAACTTAAAGTTAATATTACTTGCCTATGTTAAGTCTATATTTTAGAAAATGAAACAAAAAAGTTGCGTACCTTCCCAAGTTTTTCAGACATGTAGCAGGAAACAAACATGTTTTCTTTTGATTGGCCTAAGTAAAAATAAATACATCAGCACGATATATACACCATACAGCTGTCACCAGCTAAATACATCAGTACGATATACACACCATACCGCCGGTAACCATCTAAATACATCAACACCAGATACATATCATACCGCCGAACACCATCTAAATACATCAACACCATATACATATCATATACATATCATACCGCCGATCACCATCTAAATACATCAACACCATATACACATCATACCGCCAGTTACAGCTACCCTGCCTACACTAATTTTTAGTGCCTATCCTTATCTTTCCTGGCAATTTTCAAGTTAAAGTTAATATTGTTTCTTTTGTTTGACCTAAGTAAAAATACCCCTCCACTAAGTTAGAATACATTGCTTTACTTAACCATGATATGATTCCTTATTAACGACAAGATGTCCGATGGAACAGGTACGGATTCTGGAGCTGTTAAATATAGTCCTAAGTCCTTCCTGCTGCTCTAATGGAACACCCTATCGATGTCTTCCAAAGGAAGCAACAAATGTAAGAAATATATTTACAGAAGAAACCACAACCAATAAGGAAATGTGAAAAAAAATGACCGAGTGATATATTCTTTATATATCTGGAATCATGTGAGCTATGGAGGACACAAACTCCTCTCTCATTCACAGTAACGTAACACGATAGTCTGAAAAATCAATTCTTCTCACTTTGGTACATTCCGAATTCCAATGATATCAATCTAGGTTCAATAAAACGGTGTTGATCCAATATTGACACGGACAATACAGCTAACATTTACAGAGTCGTGTTTGACCTGCAAAAGCTCACCTGTCTAAAATAAGCATAGTGTACAAAAGAGAGTCGGAGACGGAACGCTAAGTACGGCTTACGTCACGGGTTTGATTTTCGTCTTAGGTCCGGTTTTGTGTTAAAATCTGTCTTTTCCACTCAAAACTGTAGTGTTTACCTTTAAAGCTTCAATATTCAAAGAAAAACAAGAGACCACCCGAAAGGACCTGAAATGTTGGCGGTAGACGATCGATGACGATTGTTGTCGAGAGTACCTCTGTTTCCGTAACTTTACATAGCTGGTCGTCACTGTAGACAAAAGAATATACACCCTAGGTATCTCAATGTAACAATACGTAGACAGCAAGGCCAGTATCACCGATACTGGGCAGCCTTGTTCAGTCTTGTATTTGTTGGATGTGTGGGGAAGCATTGTTGAATTTAAGGACATCATCAGTTAATTGCATTTTCCCTAACTTCAGCAATGCTTGCCTATGGGAAGTTAAGAAATGTTCGTCTAACTGTGGCCTCGCAGTTGGCTGTTGATTAGTAAATAGTTTATTCAATCTACACTTACATGTACATAGGGTTTGTTTAAAACAAATGATGCAATATGCTTTGTACGCTCATCAATTTCTACTTGGCGCAATTTCCCTGGTAATCCAAGTAAAACGTTAATTAAATTCAGAATGAATTGTTTCCTATAAAATTGTTCCAGGCCATGTAGGACACTAAACACTTCCTAAGTGACGGAAGGACTACGAGGAACCCGTGCCACGTTCACTTGTTGCGGACGGCAAGAAGATGTAGAGACTGTACATTGCTATTGACCCTTATACTCAAGTGGTCAATCAATGTTTGTAAACGACTGGTCACTCGCTTCCCTAAGTCCAATGGTCAACACCCAGACCTATAAACACAAAGATATATAAACACTGGACTGTGGAACAAATACAAATATCCAGTCGACTAGGGCTCCCGGGACACATAGATACTCCGGGGTTCACCACGACTGCCTGTGTAAAACAGGTGGCGTGTGGTACCACATCTCAAACAGTGCTGGTAGTTTTTATATTTTACAGATTTCCGTTTCAGTCAAGTCTATCAGGTTTTACATACGATAAGTTGGTGAAATGAACTTTTAATCTAGAAGGTTTTGAATCTTCCTCACAATTTAAACTTCTGATGTGATTTCGGTGTATCACATAAACTATAGACGTTGACGTGATCATTGAAAGAATCTGAAACATATACATTAAATGTAACAACACCACGTATAATTGGTTATTTATGTATGCACGTGTGTCGTTTACTCGATGATATGTCTAAGTATGTAATAAAATATATTGAAAACCTTTGCATACTGGACCAGTGTTACCACGACACGTTCATTTCGCGTTAGTGGTAAACACGACCGGAGTTCATACGGCTTAGCGATATTATGTTAATCAATCAAACTTTTGTGGTTTCACTTAAAAGAATTATAAACATGTTTACCTCATTTTGACATGGTGGAGTTGCATATCAACAAGAATATGTAGATATGCTACTATGCAATTGACTGAAAATTGTATCGAAAGCAATGATATGAAACCTTCGTGAAACTGACAGTGCTGAGAGAAAGTCAACTCCAAGAACATGTGCTATGGACGAGAAAGAGAAATAGACACGCCCACCGCTCGGCAACAGATTCCATTGTCAGCTTTCAGCCAATGAGATCGTTTGAGCAGGAAATCCGAACCACCATTGATGTGGAGAGGTTAGCTGGTGTTGAAATTTACAATCGGAGCGGGCGCCCCGCCCCCTTCATTATCCGAAGCTCGGCTCGGTTAGAACTTCACCTATAGTAAAAAGAAAAGCTTACGTACAACGGGAAAACGGCATGTGGGATCTACCAGAGGAACATGGTTTTATTTTAAATATAATAGTCGAGAGCCTGCTCGACAGTGTCTAGTATTAAGCAAAGAGAGAATACGCCTCAAATGTGTCCATTTACACCATCGTAACATTACCAGTCTGAAAGTGGTTTAATGTATTTGGCGACTTTTTAAGAATGCCATGCGAATATTCCGTTTGATGTCCTATTTACATACCAAGAACATACAGATACTGTTACAAGGTTTCATTTTAACCTGGAAGTAAACAGAAACGGTGGATTTTCTAACTAGGCAAGTCATCTGGAGAAATAGGGTATATCTGTCGAGGAACTGTCAACTAATCCAACGAAGATATTTCGGACGATTAGTGGGACTTAGTGTTACAGTGGACAGTGCTCAAAAGTTGACCAACATATTTCAGTAACGGTTATCAGATAGCGACGTGAGGGATTTCACAGGGAGGTGTCATAGAGTTTGCGAAGTAATTTCGGACAATTATTGGGACTAAGTGTTACAGTGGACAGTGGTCACTGCTCAGATAACGTGTTAGTAACAGTATATTAAACTCCAGTAACTGGGTCCATCAACAGATATCTGATGGAAAAGTGAGAGACTTCTGGAAGAGACGTCAAGTGGCGTATTCTCCGTAATTTTGGACAATCATTTTGATTAATTGTTCGCAGTGGACAGCGGTAAGTCTATGGTCAAGCTTGGCGTTTGGACAGAGGGGAGAGAGATGGTTGAGAAGTCAAATCTGGGTCTATCCGATCCGGGAGAGTTCCACAATGATAATCCACACTACCACGGAGAGGAACTACAGTATCCGGACCATCATATTAGACGGGTAAGTCAACTTCCGCTCGGAATGTCAGGCTGGTGTGGGCAAGAATCTAGCAAAACTTGAACAATTATCTCGCAGCCCTCAATAATTATGATTGAAGCTAATAACTATCTCATAGACATTTAGTAGGAGGTGTAGTAATATAATCATGAAGAATCGCATGATGTTTAAAGTCTAACAGGTGGGTTTCAAAATAAAAGATTAGGTTTTATAAAAGCTCAATGCTTGTTTGCCCTCCTGTGACATGTCTATACGATTTATGTCTGATTATTAAATTAATTATCTATTAAACTAAAAGGAAAATAAAAGGAAAAAGGAAAAAAAAAATTCTTATCATATGCTTAGATAATAGACGTAAAACTACAGTGTTGACATGAGTAGAACAAACTGTTGGTAACGTTATCCGAACAATTAGACTAGGATAATGAGTGGCTGCTTATTTACAGTGTCTTCAGAGGGTAAAGATTGTCTTAAAAGTAATATTGACAACTCATTCTCTGTCGTCGGGAAATACGTACAACCAAAAATTACAACTGCTTTCATCTAATAAATATCTGATAAAACATATACATTTCTAAATGGAATTCGGCGATTGTCTGAAGTCTATGACACATTTTCAAATCTGACCACCTTCATTTCTTGTTTCTATAAAAAATCAATTAAAAACAATCAACAGTTATATTTTATGCTGGTAAATAAATAGTTTGAATAACTTTCAAATTCAAATGATGATGTCATTATTTGTACTGTGTTGGGCTTATTTCAGTAATTTAGATATTTGTATTTTCTATCGTTCATACCGACGGATAAAGATAGATGTGTATGTAAAGGTTTTGATGATTAATAATATATATATATATACGTTTTGGTTAATATAAGGGGGCGCGGAATATGTAAAAAATAATTTCTGTGTGTTGAAATTAGCGCTTAGTAAAAACCTGCTGTTCGTTTCAATTAAATGTTATGATAGCACAGTTTCAGGTGTGATAAAGTGATTACACGATATAATTTATCGTTTGATGAAGTGATAATATTTAGTTTCTGACGTGATGACGAAATTATTTAATTTTGATCTGACAAAGCTATTGTATACCTAGCATACTATTACACATAAAAACTTATTAAAACAAAATAACACATCTGCCGGCATGAATACCTCCATTCCTTGAGCTTATACAAATTATTTAAGATAATTCAAAAACTGATATCAAACCAGGATAACCTTGATGATGTTTTATAACGGAGTGTGTGTACCATAGTTTGCTGGTAATATTTTCTTTCTGATTCTACACGGTCACAAATAATTACATATTCGAGTCCGTCCAAATATCAAATACTTTGGTTTGTATTTAATTGTATTGTTAAAACAACAATACAAAACAACTGCGCCTTTTTTCATAAATGTAAAATAAAATAACATATCAACAAACTGTTTTAAATGCAGACGTCTGTAACTAAAGATAAAAAAAAATATTTCCAAAAGATAGTTAAGTGACATATAGGAGACTTAAAATTTAGGATTTTTATCATATGATTGGCACAATGAAATCCTTATTTTTCTATTATGGTTGATCTGTGACTTGAAAATTATTTTACATTGTCAGACCACGATGTACGGTTATTGGAAAGAAGAACCATGCTTATTTTCTATATTTTTTGTCTTATTACATGTATTTTAGATTTAACAAATGAAATAAAACGTCAAATTGTTCTCAGTAGCCTAAATATTTGTGATTTGTGTGGATTGAAATAATAATATCATACAATCAGATAGGTTTGGAGTATCATTTTAATCAGGAACCCGGTTACCGTAGACAGTAATTATAAGTGTGACCACCAACTGTTGTGTCCGGTATCATTACGTAACCGTAGACAGTAATTATATTTATGATTACGTAACTGTAGTACAATGTCACAGCAATGTCGGTTTCCACAGTACTATTTAGTTTTTCTTCAGAAATGATATTTCATCGTACATTTTGTAGTTACATGTATTCCGTGTAGTACGTCATTTTTATATCTTTGGTACCTCATTTACGACAATTGTCGTTATTCCTTCAGCGTTGCTATACTTACATGTGAAATGTGTACGAGGTTTTATCGAAAAAATAACAGTACAGTGCTACATTTCAGTAAGAAAAACCTTCCCGATTCTCGGCTCGGTGACAGTGACGGATTGTTTGACATGATGGTATTTGCCAAAGCTAAGCTTATTTTTGCACATTTAGTTCGAACACATGCGGCACATATTGTATTAGCTCCATACTGACCAGTGTCCAGTAAAACAGATGTCGCAGTCAGTTTGGGTGTGAAGTGACCACAAGACCGGGGTGTATATAGCTTGTAATGTGTTTGGATAATCTGATAGTGTGGTCAGTAGATGTCGGTACATACAAGTCCCTTGGGTTCCAGCCTTGGTTAGCTGGTCCTAACTCAAGGGGGACTGGACGAGAACCAATAACAGGTTCTGTTTCCTAAACATTAACACGTGGTTTCTCCGAAACCCCCAACATGTAAATGATATATTTATACATACTTTACATAGTTATATTTTTTCATTTGCAACAATAATTTCGATTTAAATATTTTTTCCAATGACATTTCCTTGTAGAAATATGCAGATATCCAAATTTTTATGAAATAAAAGAGAAATATAAAGACGTATTGGTTACACAAAATGAATCATTGCCCTTAATTTCAAATCTATATAATGATATAGTTATTATATTTCACGAAAAATAAATATATTTCATATAAGTAAATTAATTGCCATAAAGGTCGTGAATTAGAAATGAGTGTCTTCACTAGTCCATGATGTGAACACGACACGTACCTATTCCTTACTTTTACTAGACCTGTGCTTCCTAATCAGGATTTTATATTTTTGATTGGAAAGGAGAGAAGTACGTTAAATAATTGAAGTCCAATCTTTTCGTATATAATTATATGAAATAGAACAAATTAATCTCTGTAATTATTGAGTCAAGGATTTTGGGCTGATCTAATTAATTTTGGAGTATAATCTTCCGGAATGACATTATAAAGATACGTTATCTTTTCCAGCATCTCGTGTCATTATTAAACAATTCACACCTCTGTGATAGTTTAAGTAACTCATATTTAATCACGTGTTCTCTTGTGCCCAAATTATAGGACCGATAACTTTCTTCTAACTCCGGACACTTGTCTCATCAATAAAAGAAAGTGTTAATAATTAACGCGTTTTATGTGTGACACGTGAAGGAAGCGTACTCATTTACTTCCAATCTACCCACGGTGACAAATATTATGGGGAGATAACGGTTGTTCAAATGTGATATTAATGTGTGGGATACTCTCAACATGTGCTATATTATAGCCAAAAGTCGAAATAGATTTTTGCGTCTGACCCAATTCTGATTTTAACACTTAAAGTCCAGTCTGGGCGCGCGCAAATTATAATTTACCTTGCACTGCCTCTGTCATAACGTCCAGTGATTGGTGGGTCGTACAGCACATTAATCCTTTTTTTAATTATAAAGTTAACAAACAACCTCTTTAACTTAGGTTTGTGTAGTGTTAGTGTGATTATGATTGAAGGAGATATTGGTATATGGTATAGTTTACCGCCCTCAGACCGTACTGTATCTGCTGTAGTTTTTGGAAGAAAAAAAGATGCTATTTTCTGCATTTCAATTTTACTTCTCATAAATTCTTTTACAAAACTAAAAAAGAGGTTTTCGTGAAAATAAACAGCAAGTGTATGTTATCTTAAGTCAAACGCCAAAATTAGTTTCTAATGTTACACCAGGTTGTTGATAAACTGACAGAAATAACTAGAAGCTGGGTTTTTTGTCGAGTGCCACAAAGATGGACGTATTCGCATGATGGGATCTGACAGACGAAGCTCAGTGAATTACCAACCCCAAAGTATCTTAGTAGCTCCATCAATACGGGCAAGCTTACCAAACCAAGTATCTTAGTAGCTCCACCAGTACGGGCACGCTTACCAAACAAAGTATCTTAGTAGCTCCGCCAGTACGGACAAGCTTACCAAACCAAATATCTTAGTAGCTCCGCCAGTACGGACAAGCTTACCAAACCAAACGTATCTTAGTAGCTCCACCAGTACGGGCAAGCTTACCAAACCAAGTATCTTAGTAGCTCCGCCAGTACGGGCAAGCTTACCAAACCAAAGTATCTTAGTGGCTCCACCAGTCGGGACGAGCCGTCAATATCTTAGATAACGCACAATACTTTTATTCCTATGTTTTACAGTAAAGAATACATGTTACAGTCCAATACATACCCCCAAAGGGATTTTGAAAATTGGCTGTTGGGTCAAAATCAAGTACAAAAACTGATGAAACAGGAATATTTACTGCTAAAAAGAGAGGACTCTTAGGTATCGATGTTGTTTATTGATAGCAAAACAGAGTTGTGAGGACTTCATGTTTCGTCTGATATACAATAAGATGGCAGACAGGACGCTGCAGTAGCGAAAATATCATGAACGGCGGACATTCTCTTCTAGTACTGCGTGTGCTCGGCGATTTGTGTAAGGTACATACATGAGATAGTAATTATAAAAGAATAATTGAGGTAAGACCAAGGTTTGAATTCTTGGGGTAGGGGATGTTGATGAGTCTAGTCGGCGTGAAAAAAAGGTATAGAGAGTTCAAGAATGATTTGGGCTGTGAAGAGGACGGAGGTATCAGTGCTGGGATGACTGGGGTACATTAAGTGAGAGTTGATTTTCGCATATCGGTGCAGGGTGTCTTGGGAGGTGTCTTGGGTATAAGAGAGCGATGTGGCTAGGGTATGGTGATGATGGCACGGGCTGAGCGCGGTGTGGCTAGGGTATGGGGATGATCGCACGAGATGTCTTGGGCAGGGAGGCTTGGGATGACTGATACTGTCTTCCTACGGTCCCCATCAAATCTATCACCACGTCCGATAGCGATCAGGGATGATGGCATTGACATGGTTGATGAAACTTGTAGCCAAAAGTTAAGGTGACACATGACCCTAGCGTGGGGAGTCTTCACAGGGCCACCAGGCCTTCCACAGTGTACACTGCAAGGGCGCGAACAGGCGCAGAGAAACGACCTCGTGTAATAAATCCTCACCCTATGTAACACTTCGTGAGAATTAATGTACCCGACTCGATATAACTCACGATCTATCATCACTCGCTTGCAGTCTTCTCTCCACATAAATTATATACATCGGTATGATAGTGGCGGAACACCATCCTTAATGTAATTAATCTTATTTAATTTTAATATAACAATTAGCGATCGTTTAGTACTGTACAGCTAAACAAAGTACTTCCTCAAAAATGTAACAACTGCTTACACGCGGATAGCTGGAATTTTAGTTGAATGCATATATAGGTAGTAAAATGTCATTTAAACGTGTGTCATTGTTTTCGAATGTTCCTAAAGATAAAAATATTCACTCGTTACAATGTCTTTGTTGCTAACATGTACCCCTTGTCATAAAGTAATAATCAATGACAAACATTCCTCACGAGGCCATTAGATCGCATTGATTCCCTTGTTGCAATTCTATTATGTAAAGCACATACTTCCTGTTTGCATTGACATCATATGCGGCCAAAGTTCTCGCATTGCGATATTCTTGATTATATTTTAGATGGAATTATCGTTACAATGACTATATATAAGACGAATTCCTTCTTTACAATGACTTAACATGCGATGTAATCTTCGTTGCATTTACATTTTAGCTAACATGTATTTCCTACTTATGATAACATTGTATAGGAGAAATAAACCATCGATGTAGTGGCATTATATACGAAATGTTTCCCTCGTAACAGTGACATTATATAAGAAATGTTTCCCTCGGTATAGTGACATTATAAACGAAATGTTTTCCTCGTTACAGACGATGCCTGTCCTTAACAATGGCGACATACCGAGTTTCTGTGCCGGGTGTGGTGCCCGGATATTGGACAGGTACTACCTCCTAGCGGTCGATCGCCAGTGGCACATGCAATGCCTCAAGTGTTGTGAATGCAAAATTCGATTGGATACCGAACTCACGTGTTTTGCAAGAGATGGAAATATTTACTGTAAAGAAGACTATTACAGGTAAGTACAATACAGTTAGACTGTAAAGATGACAATTTACGGGTATGTACATTATATCTAAACTGTAAAGAACATTATTACAGGGTTTAGTTCGTTGGTTTGTTCGCGCAGAGTAACGCGTCCTCTAGTAACAACCTTGGTTAGATGAAGATCGGGTTACAGGTTCATTGGTACACAGTAAGTTGAAGAAGATTATTACAGGTAGGTACACTATTGTAAGACTAGTGGGCTGTCTCTTACCCCACCACAATACACAAGCGCATTCAATTTCAAGGAACCACGTGATGATCGTTGACGTCACATTCATGAAGAAGAGAACAGGTTAGCAATGAACTTCAATAAACAGCTTGGGTTGAAGCGTACTTTAAAATGTGTAAACTGCAACAAGCAGAAATTCAAGGTGGTACTTGAACTTGAAGTCCATAGAAAAAATTCCTGGCCGAAATAACAGAATAGATTATCTTTATCTGCAACCTACTACCACCCTTGTAGTCTCGGTGTAATGGACAGCTACCCGTAATAGTGGGGAAAACATGCATTTAGTAATGACTATTGGTAAAGAACCGAAGAGATTATCTCTTTCTGCAAACTACTACTTACTCTTGGAGCATGGACAAAAATGTATCTACCCATGTAGTGACAGACATATCCCCTTGTAACAGGAACACGTGTTGGCTATACTCGTTAGGTGAGTTTCTGTTACAGTAAGGGCGGACGAACGTTCAAACCCTTATCCGTACCTAGACCTGGTTAACACGGGGATGTAAGTTACTAGGTAGATGTCTATTACTAATACAATAGTAAGCGTCTATTACTACAAGGGTAGATGTTATTACTGCAAGGGTAGGAGTTCTGTTATAAATGGAAGACGTATTGAAACAAGGATGTGTGTCTGTTATTACAACAAAGGCAGGTGCCTGTTTCTAAAAGCAATATAACTATGTAATCCTCATAAATAAAGACATACAAAATAATAACATTATCAAAAGTATCTTCACATAAAATTATGAGATTATCATATATAACCACACACCAAGTTACGACATCGTCATATACAAGTACTGCACATCAAGTAATAACATCATCATATTCAACTACACAGTCAGTAATGACATCCTCATATTCAACTACACAGTCAGTAATGACATCCTCATATTCAACTACACACTCAGTAATGACATCATCATATTCAACTACACAGCCAGTAATGACATCATCATATTTAACTACACAGTCAGTAATGACTGATGACACCGTCATATATAAATACACACCAAATAATGACATCTTATATAATTTCACCAGGTAATGACATTAGCATGATATTAAGTTCTAAAAAAGCATTAAGCATGATGAATTGTGAAAATTATGAAACAGAGGTTGGCCGGAAGTTCGTCACGTCTAATTATATTATTGTTGTGGGATATGACATTGTGTTTTGAGCTACACACAAAAAATGTGGTCTTTTATTTTGTTGTGAAGTTGCTGGCGAAATGTCATGTCCTTGTCCAGATTACTACGTGATTTGTTGAACCAGAGTGACCGGTATGACTTAAACCAGAAGGCAAATGACCTATATTGCATATGCTACATTTATACTTTAGATACTATTAGCGCTAAGGTAGGATTGAACCCCATCAACGTCAATCCAGCGCATCTACACATCCCTGCAATAGTACTGTCATGTCAGCCATCTTCACTGTCGTGAAGAATGTTTTGAATTACAATGTGTCAACACTTTGATGTATGTTGTTGATCAGAACCAATCCCCTGTATCCTTATAGTGACTAATGCTTATCTTACCTGCACTATTCGGCAAGCACAAAACATAACTGTAGTTTAGTTTGTAATTGTACCATAGCAATGACAAATCTTGATGGAATTAGAAATATCGTTATATTTTCCGTTTGTCCTATTGATAACAGGTAAACGGTTCCGTGTTACTTTATTAAGTGTAAACAATGATAATCTAACCACAAATATTTAATTGTAACGCAGGCGTCTCCACACCATTAACAGGGTTAGGGTAAGGTTTTGTGTAACCTAACGTCACACATTGAAATTGTCAAAACGCTTTATAATAGAGAATTTATTTTGTATAAAACTTTCGTCCATTCATTTTATATATCAATAAAAAAAGAAAAGGCCAATATCATAACCCATTTAAAAATCCGGATGTTTACGATAACTTATTAAATTATATTTCAATAATGAGTATGTCGGTCAATAGAAATAATCAGAGTGGTTTAGACTTACGTCTCCTCAAAACAATCCTTCTTTTGAAATAAGGAAATTATCTCGTTTACGAGCTAATAACATTATAGGTTTTACAAAGTCAATGATATAACAGTCTAACAAATTTACTAATATCGCAGTCCAACAAAATTGATAATAGAGCAGTCTTACAAAATTTCTAATATTGCTATCTAACTATACTAGTTAACAATATAGAAGTAACAGACTAACAAAATAACTAATATTGCAGTAACAGAGTTACTAGAATTAAAATTCAACAAAGCTACTAATATTGAAATCCAAAAAAGTTTCTAATATTGAAATCCAAAAAAAAGTTTCTAATATTAAAATCCAACAAAGTTACTAATATTAAAATCCAACAAAGTTACTAATATTAAAATCCAACAAAGTTACTAATATTAAAATCCATCAAATGTACTAACTATTATTTAAGTGCAACAAAGTTACTAATAATAAAATCTAATATTACATTTTTCTATAACAACGCTACTTATATAACAGTTATTAAGTAAAGAAACTTTTCAAGTTGAAACGCATTGATCCATCATTGAGAAACAAGATTAGTTGTTAAATTTCATAGAATGTAGCTAACATATTTACGATTGGATTGTGATCAGAAAGATTTGGAGTGTTATTCCAAATTTATTTGTTTAACAAATTTCAAATGACAAAATCGCAAAAGAAATCTAAGTTGAGTATGGTTGAGCCCATTGATGGAGGTCCTATTTCCGGAGTACATTGTCAGGTTGTAGTTCAATATCCTGGTTGTATGGATTGACGGCTAACATGTGTCGATGTTAATTTAGGGTCGACTCCAAGAAACCCAGCGTCAATAATTCCACGGGAAATTCTATCACCACAATATCAATACAAAATGCTAATATGAACATGATGAATTTAATTAAAAACAATAACAATCTGTTATAATGATTAAATTATCAATCTGTTTACCGTTATAACAAAGTCGTGTAGTTTGTCTGTGTAAGGAAATTAACTCACTTAATTAATTCGTATTAAAATTTCCAAATATACCAACCACAACATTTGATTATTTAGACCAGAAATTCCTGATTCAGTTCCAAATCTTACTTTTAACATACTCATTATATCATATAACTGTGGTTTTGATGTAAGATTTTGTTTAACATTCAATACTATCATTATATTATATAATTCTGTTTTTATGTAAGATATCGGTTTGAACCGAAATGAAATAATCTTCAAAATTTAAATTGGTATTTGTGACATAGTGTTATACAAGTGATATTGTTTAAGAAGAGTAAGAAAGGAAGCTAATGGTAGTACCGGCCAAATTACAATGCTGACTTCATACCGTGATCTATTCATTACAGTACATCTCTAACAACATAGAATAAATATTGATTATTGATAATTAAAGGATGATCACAGGATACTCTCATATGATACAATACCTTCTTTGACATTTTATTTCTAGCATTGATGGAGATAAAACTATATTCAGATTTATAGACATGTGTTTTAGTTGTTGAAATATTGGTTCGTAATCACATCAGTGTAAGTACAATAAAAACGTTTCAGGCATAATTCACAAATTACTACCATAACGTTGTAGTGTATATGATTTAATTCAAAATAGCTATGGTTCGTTTTTCTATAAAGAATAGAATCAGACCTCAACAGGCGCTGAACCTGTCGATAAATGGTTAGCGCGCACCGAGCGACGTGAGGCACAGTGGGAAAGCATTGAGACTTGGATAATGGGTATTTAAGGGCTATAATTTCATAAGGCACGCCTGACTGATTTTCTATCGTCCATTCCTTGGTAGATGATAGCGTACTTGAGGATAAGCATATGATAGTTACTCTGACGTTATACCGAAGTACAGGTGGTCTGTAAAATTTAGACATTATTGACACTTTCCTTCTGTAAATAGTACCGATTTGTAAGGCGATAATTGAACGACTATGCATTTTGTGTGTATATAATTTTATGTATGTATTCTTGTTGTATTTCTTCCAGATGTAATCAATTTTGACAGCTACATTGTTGTAAATATCCGTACCATTATTTCATTTCATCAGTGCTAAAGAAAAAATCAATCTGATTTCCAATAGATCATATATTTTTATAACAACACATATTAGCTTACCTTCTTTTATAACGTTAATTTATTTCGACAATTTATTAACGTCCTTTGTAGTAAAGCACGATCTGATTTAACAAATTGTTATACTATGTATAATTGATTTACGCCCTCTGTGGTTAACTACAGGCTAACAATAATTATATTATCTATATTGTATTAACATGGCAGCATATACAAAAATATCTGAAGGATGGAAACAGAAATAATTTTAAGGATTTTATTTTAATTATTAGAATAATGCTGCAATCTTAAAATGTATAGCACTTCAAACGTATTTTCTTTTGTAAATATATTTTCATAAATTCTTTATATCTGTAAACAAATTCAGGAAAACAACCACATTTGTATTACACCAATTTGTATCATGTTTGTTTAATAAAATCATGAGATATTGGGATTTATAGGAAAAAAAATATGTTACCAGTGGATTTATAGAAAAAGAAATATTTCACCAGGAGATTTAAAGAAAAAGAAATATTTTACCAGGAGATTTAAAGAAAAAGAAATATTTTAGTTAGTGTAATATATGAGAGTACAAGCTATTGTAACACATTAATGGTCGGTTTCAATTTATTACTGATGTTGTTTACACGTTCTATACAGAAATGTTGATAT